ACACACACAAGAACCTGACACACACACAAGAACCTGACCCACACAAGACCCTGACACACACAAGAGCCTGACACACACAAGAACCTGACACACACAAGACCCTGAGACACACAAGAGCCTGACACACACAAGAACCTGACACACACAGAAACCTGACACACACAAGAACCTGACACACACACAAGACCCTGACACACACAGGAACCTGACACACACAAGAACCTGACACACACACAAGACCCTGACACACACAGGAACCTGACACACAAAAGAACCTGACACACACACAATACCCTGACACACAAGAACCTGACACACACAAGAACCTGACACACACAAGACCCTGACACACACAAGAACCTGACACACACACGAAACTGACACACACACAAGACCCTGACACACACAGGAACCTGACACACACACAATACCCTGACACACACGAACCTGACACACACAAGAACCTGACACACACAAGAACCTGACACACAAGACCCTGACACACACAAGAACCTGACACATACAAGAAACTGACACACACAAAAGACCCTGACACACACAAAGCCCCGATACACACAAGACCCTGACACACACAAGAACCTGACACACACAGGAACCTGACACATACACAAGAGCCTGACACACACAAGAACCTGACACACACAAGACCCTGAGACACACAAGAGCCTGGCACACACAAGAACCTGACACACACACAAGAACCTGACCCACACAAGACCCTGACACACACAAGAACCTGACACACACAAGACCCTGACACACACAAGAACCTGACACACACAAGATCCTGGGACAAACAAGACCCCGACACACACAAGACCCTGACACACACAGGAACCTGACACACACAAGACCCTGACACACAAAAGAACCTGACACACACAAGAACCTGACACACACAAGAACCTTACACACACAAGACCCTGACACACACAGGAACCTGACACACACAAGACCCTGACACACACAAGAACCTGACACACACAAGAAACTGACACACACAAAAGACCCTGACACACACAAGAACCTGACACACACAAGAACCTGACACACACAAGACCCTGACACACACAGGAACCTGACACACACAAGACCCTGACACACACAGGAACCTGACACACACAAGACCCTGACACACACAAGAACCTGACACACACAAGACCCTGACACACACAAGAACCTGACACACACAAGATCCTGGGACAAACAAGACCCCGACACACACAAGACCCTGACACACACAGGAACCTGACACACACAAGACCCTGACACACAAAAGAACCTGACACACACAAGAGCCTGGGACAAACAAGACCCTGACACACACAAGACCCTGACACACACAAGACCCATACACACATAAGACCCTGACACACACAGGAACCTGACACACACAAGAACCTGACACACACAAGAACCTTACACACACAAGACCCTGACACACACAGGAACCTGACACACACAAGAACCTGACACACATAAGACCCTGACACACACAGGAACCTGACACACACAAGACCCTGACACACACAAGAACCTTACACACACAAGAACCTGACACACACAAGAACCTTACACACACAAGAACCTGACACACACAAGACCCTGACACACACACAAGACCCTGATACACACAGGAACCTGACACACACAAGACCCTGACACACACAAGACCCTGACACACAGAGGAACCTGACACACACAAGAACCTGACACACACAAGACCCTGAAACACACAAGACCCTGAAACACACAAGACCCTGACACACACAAGACCCTGACACACACAAGACCCTGACACACATAAGGCCCTGACACACACAAGAACCTGACACACACAAGAACCTTACACACACAAGACCCTGACACACACACAAGACCCTGATACACACAGGAACCTGACACACACAAGAACCTTACACACACAAGAACCTGACACACACAAGACCCTGACACACACAGGAACCTGACACACACAAGACCCTGACACACACAGGACCCTGACACACACAAGAACCTGACACACACAAGACCCTGAGACACACAAGACCCTGAAACACACAAGACCCTGACACACATAAGACCCTGACACACACAGGAACCTGACACACACAAGAACCTGACACACACAAGAACCTTACACACTCAAGAGCCTGACACACACAAGAACCTGACACACATAGGAACCTGACACACACAAGAACCTGACACACACAAGACCCTGACACACACAAGACCCTGACACACACAAGAACCTGACACACACAGAAACCTGACACACACAAGAACCTGACACACACACAACACCCTGACACACACAAGACCCTGACACACACAAGAACCTGACACACACAGGAACCTGACACACACCAGAGCGTGACACACACAAGAACCTGACACACACAGGAACCTGACACACACAAGAACCTGGCACACACACAAGACCCTGACACACACAGGAACCTGACACACACAAGAACCCGACACACACACAATACCCTGACACACACAGGAACCTGACACACACAAGAACCTGACACACACAAGAACCTGACACACACGAGACCCTGACACACACAAGAACCTGACACACACAAGAAACTGACACACCCAAGAACCTTACACACTCAAGAGCCTGACACACACAAGAACCTGACACACATAGGAACCTGACACACACAAGAACCTGACACACACAAGACCCTGACACACACAATAACCTGACACACCCAAGACCCTGACACACACAAGAACCTGACACACACAGAAACCTGACACACACAAGAACCTGACACACACACAAGACCCTGACACACACAAGACCCTGACACACACAAGAACCTGACACACACAGGAACCTGTCACACACAAGAGCCTGACACACACAAGAACCTGACACACACAGGAACCTGACACACACAAGAACCTGACACACACAAGACCCGGACACACACAAGACCCTGACACACGCAAGAACCTGACACACACAGGAACCTGACACACACAAGAACCTGACACACACAAGACCCTGACACACACAAGAACCTGACACACACAAGACCCCGACACACACAAGACCCTGACACACACAAGAACCTGACACACACAGGAACCTGACACACACAAGAACCTGACACACACACAAGACCCTGACACACACAGGCACCTGACACACACAAGAACCCGATACACACACAATACCCTGACACACACAGGAACCTGACACACACAAGAACCTGACACACACAAGAACCTGACACACACAAGACCCTGACACACACAAGAACCTGACACACACAAGAAACTGACACACCCAAGACCCTGACACACACAATAACCTGACACACAAAAGACCCTGACACACACAAGACCCCGACACACACAAGACCCTGACACACACAGGAACCTGACACATACACAAGAGCCTGACACACACAAGAACCTGACCCACACAAGACCCTGACACACACAAGAGCCTGACACACACAAGAACCTGACACACACAAGACCCTGAGACACACAAGAGCCTGACACACACAAGAACCTGACACACACAGAAACCTGACACACACAAGAACCTGACACACACACAAGACCCTGACACACACAGGAACCTGACACACACAAGAACCTGACACACACACAAGACCCTGACACACACACAATACCCTGACACACACAGGAACCTGACACACAAAAGAACCTGACACACACAAGAACCTGACACACACAAGACCCTGACACACACAGGAACCTGACACACACAAGAAACTGACACACCCAAGACCCTGACACACACAAGAACCTGACACACACAAGAAACTGACACACCCAAGACCCTGACACACACAATAACCTGACACACAAAAGACCCTGACACACACAAGGCCCCGACACACACAAGACCCTGACACACACAAGAACCTGACACACACAGGAACCTGACACATACACAAGACCCTGACACACACAAGAACCTGACACACACAGGAACCTGACACATACACAAGAGCCTGACACACACAAGAACCTGACACACACAAGACCCTGAGACACACAAGAGCCTGACACACACAAGAACCTGACACACACACAAGAACCTGACCCACACAAGACCCTGAGACACACAAGAGCCTGACACACACAAGACCCTAACACACACAAGACCCTGACACACACAAGACCCTCGACACACACAAGACCCTGACACGCACAAGAACCTGACACACACAGGAACCTGACACACACAAGAACCTGACACACACAAGACCCTGACACACACAAGACCCTGACACACACAAGAACCTGACACACACAAGACCCTGACACACACAGGAACCTGACACACACAAGACCCTGACACACACAAGAACCTGACACACACAGGAACCTGACACACACAAGACCCTGACACACACAAGACCCTGACACACACAAGAACCTGACACACACAGGAACCTGACACACACAAGAACCTGACACACACAGGAACCTGACACACACAAGAACCTGACACACACAAGAACCTGACACACACAAGAACCTGACACACACAAGACCCTGACACACACAGGGACATGAACCAAACACACTCAAAACTGTGTCCTTGGTCTCCTCCTGGTCTCTCTCTGGTCTCCCTCTGGTCTCTCTCTGGTCTCTCTGGTCTCTCTCTGGTCTCACTCTGGTCTCTCTCTGGTCTCTCTCTGGTCTCTCTCTGGTCTCTCTCTGGTCTCTCTCTGGTCTCTCTCTGGTCTCTCTCTGGTCTCTCTCTGGTCTCCCTCTGGTCTCTCTCTGGTCTCTCTCTGGTCTCCCTCTGGTCTCTCTCTGGTCTCTCTCTGGTCTCTCTCTGGTCTCTCTCTGGTCCCTCTGGTCTCTCGCTGTGTCCTTGGTCTCCTTCTGGTCTCTCTCTGGTCTCCCTCTGGTCCCTCTGGTCCCTCTGGTCTCTCTCTGTGTCCTTGGTCTCCTTCTGGTCTCTGTGTATGTCTCTGAGAGTCCAGATCAAACTGGTGAATTATTGTGTGTACGATGTATATTGTGTGTAGTGTGTATATTTTGTGTAGTGTGTATAGTGTGTATAGTGTGTGTAGTGTGTATAGTGTGTGTAGTGTGTATAGTGTGTGTAGTGTGTATAGTGTGTGTAGTGTGTATAGTGTGTGTAGTGTGTATAGTGTGTGTAGTGTGTATAGTGTGTGTATGTGTATAGTGTGTGTAGTGTGTATATTGTGTGTATAGTGTGTATATTGTGTGTAGTGTGTATATTGTGTGTAGTGTGTATAGTGTGTGTAGTGTGTAAATTGTGTGTACAGTGTGTATATTGTGTGTAGTGTGTATATTGTGTGTATAGTGTGTATATTGTGTATAGTGTGTGTATATTGTTTGTAGTGTGTATATTGTGTATAGTGTGTATATTGTGTGTATATTGTGTATATTGTGTGTAGTGTGTATAGTGTGTATAGTGAGTGTAGTGTGTATAGTGTGTGTAGTGTGTATATTGTGTGTACAGTGTGTATATTGTGTGTAGTGTGTATATTGTGTGTATAGTGTGTATATTGTGTGTAGTGTGTATATTGTGTGTATAGTGTGTATATTGTGTGTAGTGTGTATATTGTGTGTAGTGTGTATAGTGTGTGTAGTGTGTATATTGTGTGTACAGTGTGTATATTGTGTGTAGTGTGTATATTGTGTGTATAGTGTGTATATTGTGTATAGTGTGTGTAGTGTGTGTATATTGTTTGTAGTGTGTATATTGTGTGTAGTGTGTATATTGTGTGTAGTGTGTATATTGTGTGTATATTTTGTATGTAGTGTGTATATTGTGTGTAGTGTGTATATTGTGTGTAGTGTGTATATTGTGTGTATATTTTGTATGTAGTGTGTATATTGTGTGTAGTGTGTATATTGTGTGTAGTGTGTAACGGCTGCAAGTCCAAAGTGTCTCTGAAACAGTTGTTGTTTTGTGCTTCATGGTCTTACACTGGTCCAGACTAGAGCTTAGAGGATTCATGGTTTTACACTGGTCCAGACCAGAGCAGAGAGGATTCATGGTTTTACACTGGTCCAGACCAGAGCAGAGAGGATTCATGGTTTTACACTGGTCCAGACCAGAGCAGAGAGGATTCATGGTTTTACACTGGTCCAGACCAGAGCAGAGAGGATTCATGGTTTTACACTGGTCCAGACCAGAGCAGAGAGGATTCATGGTTTTACACTGGTCCAGACCAGAGCAGAGAGGATTCATGGTTTTACACTGGTCCAGACCAGAGCAGAGAGGATTCATGGTTTTACACTGGTCCAGACCAGAGCAGAGAGGATTCATGGTTTTACACTGGTCCAGACCAGAGCAGAGAGGATTCATGGTTTCACACTGGTCCAGACCAGAGCAGAGAGGATTCATGGTTTTACACTGGTCCAGACCAAGTGGATCAGGAGAAAACCCACTGGAGGAATACTAACTTTTTGAAAAATGGTAATGAAGCATTCAGCATTTTACTTTGGACCAGAGCAGAGAAAATGGTCCGAATCAAGCGTGTACTCCACCCAGTGACTCGTGCTGCTCCACCCAGAGGCTACTCCACCTCTGCTGCTGTGACCCGTCCTGCTCCACCCAGAGACTACTCCACCTCTGCTGCTGTGACCTGTCCTGCTCCACCCAGAGGCTACTCCACCTCTGCTGCTGTGACTGTCCTGCTCCACCCAGAGACTACTCCACCTCTGCTGCTGTGACCTGTCCTGCTCCACCCAGAGGCTACTCCACCTCTGCTGCTGTGACTGTCCTGCTCCACCCAGAGACTACTCCACCTCTGCTGCTGTGACCCGTCCTGCTCCACCCAGAGGCTACTCCACCTCTGCTGCTGTGACCCGTCCTGCTCCACCCAGAGGCTACTCCACCTCTGCTGCTGTGACCCGTCCTGCTCCACCCAGAGACTACTCCACCTCTGCTGCTGTGACTCGTGCTGCTCCACCCAGAGGCTACTCCACCTCTGCTGCTGTGACCTGTCCTGCTCCACCCAGAGGCTACTCCACCTCTGCTGCTGTGACTGTCCTGCTCCACCCAGAGACTACTCCACCTCTGCTGCTGTGACCCGTCCTGCTCCACCCAGAGGCTACTCCACCTCTGCTGCTGTGACCCGTCCTGCCCACCCAGAGGCTACTCCACCTCTGCTGCTGTGACCCGTCCTGCTCCACCCAGAGGCTACTCCACCTCTGCTGCTGTGACCCGTCCTGCTCCACCCAGAGGCTACTCCACCTCTGCTGCTGTGACCCGTCCTGCTCCACCCAGAGGCTACTCCACCTCTGCTGCTGTGACCCGTCCGTGACGAGTCTGACGAGTGTGACGAGTGTGACGAGACTGACGAGTCTGACGAGTCTGACGAGTGTGACGAGTGTGACGAGTCTGACGAGTGTGACGAGTCTGACGAGTCTGACGAGTCTGACGAGTCTGACGAGTGTGACGAGTCTGACGAGTGTGACGAGTCTGACGAGTCTGACGAGTCTGACGAGTGTGACGAGTTTGACGAGTCTGACGAGTCTGACGAGTGTGACGAGTCTGACGAGTCTGACGAGTGTGACGAGTCTGACGAGTCTGACGAGTGTGACGAGTGTGACGAGTCTGACGAGTGTGACGAGTGTGACGAGTGTGACGAGTGTGACGAGTGTGACAAGTGTGACGAGTCTGACGAGTCTGACGAGTCTGACGAGTCTGACGAGTCTGACGAGTGTGACGAGTGTGACGAGTCTGACGAGTGTGACGAGTCTGACGAGTCTGACGAGTCTGACGAGTCTGACGAGTGTGACGAGTCTGACGAGTGTGACGAGTCTGACGAGACTGACGAGACTGACGAGTCTGACGAGTCTGACGAGTCTGACGAGTGTGACGAGTCTGACGAGTGTGACGAGTGTGACGAGTCTGACGAGTCTGACGAGTCTGACGAGTGTGACGAGTCTGACGAGTGTGACGAGTGTGACGAGTCTGACGAGTGTGACGAGTCTGACGAGTCTGACGAGTGTGACGAGTCTGACGAGTCTGACGAGTGTGACGAGTCTGACGAGTCTGACGAGTGTGACGAGTCTGACGAGTCTGACGAGTCTGACGAGTCTGACGAGTGTGACGAGTCTGACGAGTGTGACGAGTGTGACGAGTCTGACGAGTCTGACGAGTGTGACGAGTCTGACGAGTGTGACGAGTGTGACGAGTGTGACGAGTCTGACGAGTGTGACGAGTGTGACGAGACTGACGAGTCTGACGAGTCTGACGAGTCTGACGAGTGTGACGACGAGTGTGACGAGTGTGACGAGTGTGACGAGTGTGACGAGTGTGACGAGTGTGACGAGAGTCTGACGAGTGTGACGAGTCTGACGAGTGTGACGAGTGTGACGAGTGTGACGAGTCTGACGAGTGTGACGAGTGTGACGAGTGTGACGAGTCTGACGAGTGTGACGAGTGTGACGAGTGTGACGAGTCTGACGAGTCTGACGAGTGTGACGAGTGTGACGAGTGTGACGAGACTGACGAGTCTGACGAGTGTGACGAGTCTGACGAGTGTGACGAGTCTGACGAGTGTGACGAGTGTGACGAGTGTGACGAGTGTGACGAGTGTGACGAGTGTGACGAGTCTTACGAGTGTGACGAGTGTGACGAGTCTGACGAGTGTGACGAGTGTGACGAGTGTGACGAGTGTGACGAGTGTGACGAGTCTGACGAGTGTGACGAGTGTGACGAGTGTGACGAGTCTGACGAGTCTGACGAGTGTGACGAGTCTGACGAGTGTGACGAGTGTGACGAGTCTGACGAGTGTGACGAGTCTGACGAGTGTGACGAGTCTGACGAGTGTGACGAGTCTGACGAGTGTGACGAGTCTGACGAGTCTGACGAGTGTGACGAGTCTGACGAGTCTGACGAGTCTGACGAGTCTGACGAGTGTGACGAGTCTGACGAGTGTGACGAGTCTGACGAGTCTGACGAGTGTGACGAGTGTGACGAGTGTGACGAGTGTGACGAGTGTGACGAGTCTGACGAGTCTGACGAGTGTGACGAGTGTGACGAGTCTGACGAGTGTGACGAGTGTGACGAGTGTGACGAGTCTGACGAGTCTGACGAGTCTGACGAGTCTGACGAGTGTGACGAGTGTGACGAGTGTGACGAGTCTGACGAGTGTGACGAGTCTGACGAGTGTGACGAGTGTGACGAGACTGACGAGTCTGACGAGTCTGACGAGTGTGACGAGTGTGACGAGTCTGACGAGTGTGACGAGTGTGACGAGTGTGACGAGTCTGACGAGTGTGACGAGTGTGACGAGTGTGACGAGTCTGACGAGTCTGACGAGTGTGACGAGTGTGACGAGTGTGACGAGTCTGACGAGTGTGACGAGTGTGACGAGTCTGACGAGTGTGACGAGTCTGACGAGTCTGACGAGTCTGACGAGTGTGACGAGTCTGACGAGTGTGACGAGTGTGACGAGTCTGACGAGTGTGACGAGTGTGACGAGTGTGACGAGTGTGACGAGTCTGACGAGTGTGACGAGTCTGACGAGTCTGACGAGTGTGACGAGTCTGACGAGTCTGACGAGTGTGACGAGTCTGACGAGTGTGACGAGTGTGACGAGTGTGACGAGTGTGACGAGTGTGACGAGTGTGACGAGTGTGACGAGTGTGACGAGTGTGACGAGTCTGACGAGTGTGACGAGTCTGACGAGTCTGACGAGTGTGACGAGTCTGACGAGTGTGACGAGTGTGACGAGTGTGACGAGTGTGACGAGTCTGACGAGTCTGACGAGTCTGACGAGTCTGACGAGTCTGACGAGTGTGACGAGTCTGACGAGTGTGACGAGTCTGACGAGTCTGACGAGTCTGACGAGTGTGACGAGTGTGACGAGTGTGACGAGTCTGACGAGTGTGACGAGTGTGACGAGTGTGACGAGTCTGACGAGTCTGACGAGTCTGACGAGTGTGACGAGTCTGACGAGTCTGACGAGTCTGACGAGTCTGACGAGTGTGACGAGTGTGACGAGTGTGACGAGTCTGACGAGTCTGACGAGTGTGACGAGTGTGACGAGTCTGACGAGTGTGACGAGTCTGACGAGACTGACGAGTGTGACGAGTGTGACGAGTCTGACGAGTGTGACGAGTCTGACGAGACTGACGAGTGTGACGAGTCTGACGAGACTGACGAGTGTGACGAGTGTGACAAGTCTGACGAAGAAATTACAGAAAATAACCAAGAAAAAATAACAGACAAGATGACATCGACAACTTTGCTACAGACCAGAATTCTTAAAAGACGATTAGGAAAACCAAGTTGGAGATCGATATTTGCATAAACTAAAAATAGTCATATAATAAAACATTTATGAACCTCGCCCTCGGTTAATAAGCCGTTATTACGCAGGTCATTATCAGAGAATAAGTGCCTTCAGACGAAGCGTCGGGGTCTGCTTCACCTGAAGGTACTTATTCTCTGATAATGACTTGTACCATACGTTATCCCGATTATTACACGGCTTTAAACCAACACAACACAAACCTCAGTCACTTTTAGGAATGCCCAAAGGTTTATTTAAAATAAGAAAGAAAATAAAATAGTTCCCAAAGGCTTTCCCGTGGCTATGCTAGCACCATTAGGCTAACAACTTCCAAACTAGAACTCTCTGGAACTGCATGAAAACTGAACACAGAATCCTGAACATCAGCGGTGAGTGACCCAAACATAAACTTAACCTAAATCCATAATTCCATCCTCTGCAAATGTTCCTAAAATGTGCCGTATCTACTTCTGGGTTTTTCACCATCGCCTTTTCTCGCATTACATCAGTGTTTTTGTCATGAAAACGGAAACGGAAAATTCTGGAAACTTCCGTGCACTTGTATTAATAATGTATTTGTATAATGTATTCTCAGATTATCATTTAAGTGTGTTGATTGAGCGTGGCTAGCTCCGGAGTGGCCGGAACTACTGTCGGAGTTATCCACGCATCTGAAATACAAGCAGAGAGTGCGTTGCCAAAGGGCAGCGGTCATTATTGTTTTGAGAGGTCGGTTATAGACAATAATGACCGTAGAACGTTTTTAAATGACGTTCACATGAATGGTTCTCCTGCTGCTGTGAGGAGCTGTGATAAATAAACATTACTTACTTACTAGTGTGTGTAGTGTGTATATTGTGTGTATATTGCGTGTTGTGTGTATATTGTGTGTTGTGTGTATATTGTGTGTAGTGTGTGTAGTCTAGTCTCCGCAGGTGGTCCCGGTCCTGGTTTGAGTGACAGGTAAACACAGACACACCCTCCTCTGCTCTAAAGACTCGACATGTTCCAAAACGTTTCAGCGAAAGAAACATCCGTCATCTTTGTGTTGCTCCAAGTCCAGGACCCAGGTCTAGGACTCTGGTCCAGGACTCTGGTCCAGGACCCAGGTCTAGGACTCTGGTCCAGGACTCTGGGAAAGGGAAAACCTCAACCCAGCTCAGACCCAGTGGTTTATCTGCAGTAAAACCCCGGTGGAATAATGTGCCCAAGTCTCCAGAGAGCAGCGACAGAGACATAAAACTGACTATAAATACAAACCTTTATCTTATACAGGACCTTTAGACCCTGTGGGTCCAGACCCTGTGGGACCAGACCCTGTGGGACCAGACCCTGTGGGTCCAGACCCTGTGGGACCAGACCCTGTGGGACCAGACCCTGTGGGACCAGACCCTGCTGGACCAGACCCTGGGGTCCTCTCTGATGCAGGAGGGGATGCACCCATGGGTGACCCCTGAGCTTAAAGCCCTCCTGAACCTCAAGAAAAGGGCTTTCATCTCAGGGGACAAAGAGGAGCAGAGGATCCAGACCGAGCTCCAGTAGAGGATCAGGAGGGCCAAGAGGGACTATGGGTAAAAGCTGGAGCAGAAGCTGGCCCAGGGAAACGCCCGCGACGTGTGGAGAGGCCTAAAGAACATCTCCGGCTTTGGACAGAGTGCCAGAGGAACAGCGGATGGAGACCAGCACCGGGCGGATGAATTTAACCAGTATTTAACTGGTTTGATCCCCCCCCCCCCCCCCCCCCTCTCCACCTGAACCCCCTCCCACCCCACCTCGTCACAGGTCCCCAGCCCAGTGGACACCGCCTTCAGCTGCCCCGGGCCCTCCTGCCCCCACATCCCCGGCCCCCACCTCTGACAGTACACCCCGCCCCCCCACTCTCCATCACACCGGACCAGGTGAGGACCAGGTGAGGACCAGGTGAGGACCAGGTGAGGAGTCAGCGTCTGAAGCAGAGGAAATCCGTAGGACCGGACGGGATCAGTCCCAGGCTGCTGAGGACCTGTGCAGACCAGCTCTCTGAGGTCCTCTCTGGGGTCCTCTCTGAGGTCCTCTCTGAGGTCCCCTCTGAGGTCCTCTCTGGGGTCCTCTCTGAGGTCCCCTCTGAGGTCCTCTCTGAGGTCCTCTCTGAGGTCCTCTCTGAGGTCCTCTCTGGGGTCCTCTCTGAGGTCCTCAGCTACATGTACAACCTGAGCCTCAGCCTGGAGAAGGTCCCTGTCCTGTGGAAGACCTCCTGTGATCCCAGCTCCTAAAACAGCGCCAAGGAACTGGCTCACTATAGACCAGTCTGACCTCCCTCCTGATGAAGACCATGGAGCACTGACCTCCTGAGGAAGACCATGGAGCACTGACCTCCTGATGAAGACCATGGAGCACTGACCTCCACCTGATGAAGACCATGGAGCACTGACATCCTGATGAAGACCATGGAGCACTGACCTCCTGATGAAGACCATGGAGCACTGACCTCCTGATGAAGACCATGGAGCACTGACCTCCTGATGAAGACCATGCAGCACTGACCTCCTGATGAAGACCATGGAGCACAGACCTCCTGATGAAGACCATGGAGCACAGACCTCCACCTGATGAAGACCATGGAGCACTGACCTCCTGATGAAGACCATGGAGCACTGACCTCCTGATGAAGACCATGGAGCACTGACCTCCTGATGAAGACCATGGAGCACAGACCTCCTGATGAAGACCATGGAGCACAGACCTCCACCTGATGAAGACCATGGAGCACTGACCTCCTGATGAAGACCATGGAGCACTGACCTCCTGATGAAGACCATGGAGCACTGACCTCCTGATGAAGACCATGGAGCACTGACCTCCTGATGAAGACCATGGAGCACTGACCTCCTGATGAAGACTATGGAGCACTGACCTCCTGATGAAGACCATGGAGCACTGACCTCCTGATGAAGACCATGGAGCACTGACCTCCTGATGAAGACCATGGAGCACTGACCTCCTGATGAAGACCATGGAGCACTGACCTCCTGATGAAGACCATGGAGCACTGACCTCCTGATGAAGACCATGGAGCACTGACCAGTAAGACCAAGGAGATGGTGGCTTCTGAGGAGGCTGAGGTCCTTCAGAGTGAGCAGGCCTCTGCCATATACTACGCTGCCGTGTGCTGGGCCCCGGGCAGCACAGAGCAGGACAGGAGGCCCCTGGACTCTGTGGAGGAGGTGAGGGACAGGAGGTGCTAGTCAAAGCCACCTCCATCATGAACAACACCTCCTGCACAGGACTGAGGAGCTCCTTCAGTGGAAGAAGGAGCAGGGCCTTTATCCCCACCGCTGTCAGACTGTACAACAAGTCACTTTAATTAAGTCACTGTATTAGGACTAAAAACCTGCACTACTATTGCCACTGTTTATTGTACACAATCTATATATATATATTTATTATATGACTTGGACCGTACGCGCGCTCTGATTGGCTGATTACCGGTCTGATATCTTTCCTCGGACCGTTACCATGACAATCTGTCCACAGCCTGTATCACACTAAACCAAGTTGGACATGAACATACTTCACAAATATCTCAAAAGCATCGGTAAAGACATAGACGAGAGTCATATAATAAAACATTTATTAACCTCGCCACGGCTCGGTCTGTGCATTAAGGCTCGGTCTGTGCATTAAGGCTCGGTCTGTGCATTAAGGCTCGGTCTGTGCATTAAGGCTCGGTCTGTGCATTAAGGCTCGGTCTGTGCATTAAGGCTCGGTCTGTGCATTAAGGCTCGGTCTGTGCATTAAGGCTCGGTCTAAGGCTCGGTCTGTGCATTAAGGCTCGGTCTGTGCATTAAGGCTCGGTCTGTGCATTAAGGCTCGGTCTGTACATTAGGGCTCGGTCTGTACATTAGGGCTCGGTCTGTACATTAAGGCTCGGTCTGTACATTAAGGCTCGGTCTGTGCATTAAGGCTCGGTCTGTGCATTAAGGCTCGGTCTGTGCATTAAGGCTCGGTCTGTGCATTAAGGCTCGGTCTGTACATTAAGGCTCGGTCTGTGCATTAAGGCTCGGTCTGTGCATTAAGGCTCGGTCTGTACATTAAGGCTCGGTCTGTACATTAAGGCTCGGTCTGTACATTAAGGCTCGGTCTGTACATTAAGGCTCGGTCTGTGCATTAAGGCTCGGTCTGTACATTAAGGCTCGGTCTGTACATTAAGGCTCGGTCTGTGCATTAAGGCTCGGTCTGTACATTAGGGCTCGGTCTGTACATTAGGGCTCGGTCTGTACATTAAGGCTCGGTCTGTACATTAAGGCTCGGTCTGTGCATTAAGGCTCTGTCTGTGCATTAAGGCTCGGTCTGTACATTAAGGCTCGGTCTGTGCATTAAGGCTCGGTCTGTGCATTAAGGCTCGGTCTGTGCATTAAGGCTCGGTCTGTACATTAAGGCTCTGTCTGTGCATTAAGGCTCGGGTCTGTGCATTAAGGCTCGGTCTGTACATTAAGGCTCGGTCTGTGCATTAAGGCTCGGTCTGTACGTTAAGGCTCGGTCTGTATTGACCGCCTGAGCGACCGCCTGAGCGACCGCCTGAGCGACCGCCTGAGCGACCGCCTGAGCGACCGCCTTATTGACCGCCTGAGCGACCGCCTTATTGACCGCCTGAGCGACCGCCTGAGCGACCGCCTTATCGACGACCGCCTTATTGACCGCCTTATCGACCGCCTTATCGACCGCCTTATCGACCGCCTTATCGACCGCCTTATCGACCGCCTTATCGACCGCCTTATCGACCGCCTTATCGACCGCCTTATCGACCGCCTTATCGACCGCCTTATCAACCGCCTTATCGACCGCCTTATCAACCGCCTTATCGACCGCCTTGGCGACCGCCTTATTGACCGCCTTATCGACCGCCTTGGCGACCGCCTTATCGACCGCCTTATCGACCGCCTTATCGACCGCCTTATCGACCGCCTTATCAACCGCCTTATCGACCGCCTTGGCGACCGCCTTATCGACCGCCTTATCGACCGCCTTATCAACCGCCTTATCGACCGCCTTGGCGACCGCCTTATTGACCGCCTTGGCGACCGCCTTATCGACCGCCTTATCGACCGCCTTATCGACCGCCTTATCAACCGCCTTATCGACCGCCTTGGCGACCGCCTTATTGACCGCCTTATCGACCGCCTTGGCGACCGCCTTGGCGACCGCCTTATCGACCGCCTTATCGACCGCCTTATCGACCGCCTTATCGACCGCCTTATCGACCGCCTTATCGACCGCCTTATCGACCGCCTTATCAACCGCCTTATCGACCGCCTTGGCGACCGCCTTATTGACCGCCTTATCGACCGCCTTGGCGACCGCCTTATTGACCGCCTTATCGACTGCCTTGGCAACCGCCTTATTGACCGCCTTAGCAACACGTGTGCTCCTGTTATGGCACAAAGGTAACGTCAGAACAAATGCACAAATAAATAATAGTTAAGCTGTGAGTCGAGGCACTTCATGTTTCAAGACCATTTAACACAAAGTCACAGTAGAAATGTAAATAAACTAAAATAAAACTATCTTTTGTTTATAAGGTTTATTGATAAAGCTGAGTCCTCATCACTCAGACATGTGACATCACCAAACAATCTGAAACTGCACTGTTTGTCATTAATGAACAATTAAAGTTGACATGGCTCTTAATCCCCTCTGTGGTCCTGGATTAGGTCCTGGATCAGTCCAGTTCTAGAGTTTCCTGTGTTCTTCTTCATTGCTCACATTTATGAAATTTGAGGCGTCCATCTTGGAACTCGGACACACACAGTTTGATTACAGGTAATGGCCGACGCAGAATCAGCACAGATGCCCATTGACTTGAATGAGGACCACATGTGAGGCCAGGGATCGGGTTCACACACAGCATGTAGAGAAGGGTAGAGTACTGTAGAGAAGGGTAGAGTACTGTAGAGAAGGGTAGAGTAGAGTAGAGTAGAGAAGGGTAGAGTACTGTAGAGAAGGGTAGAGTACTGTAGAGAAGGGTAGAGTACAGTAGAGAAGGGTAGAGTAGAGTAGAGTAGAGAAGGGTAGAGTACTGTAGAGAAAGGTAGAGTACTGTAGAGAAGGGTAGAGTACAGTAGAGAAGGGTAGAGTAGAGTAGAGTAGAGAAGGGTAGAGTAGAGAAGGGTAGAGTATTGTAGAGTAGAGTAGAGAAGCGTAGAGTACTGTAGAGAAGGGTAGAGTACTGTAGAGAAGGGTAGAGTACTGTAGAGAAGGGTAAAGTACTATAGAGTAGAGTAGAGAAGGGTAGAGTAGAGAAAAGAAGGGTAGAGTAGAGAAGGGTAGAGTAGAGTAGAGAAGGGTAGAGTACTGTAGAGAATGGTAGAGTAGAGTAGAGAAGGGTAGAGTAGAGAAGGGTAGAGTACTGTAGAGGAGGGTAAAGTACTGTAGAGAAGGGTAGAGTACTGTAGAGAAGGGTAGAGTACTGTAGAGAAGGGTAGAGTACTGTAGAGAAGGGTAGAGTAGGGTAGAGAAGGGTAGAGTAGAGAAGGGTAGAGTACTGTAGAGAAGGGTAGAGTACTGTAGAGAAGAGTAGAGTAGAGAAGGGTAGAGTAGAGTAGAGAAGGGTAGAGTACTGTAGAGAAGGGTAGAGTAGAGAAGGGTAGAGTAGAGTAGAGAAGGGTAGAGTACTGTAGAGAAGGGTAGAGTACTGTAGAGAAGGGTAGAGTAGAGTAGAGTAGAATAGAGAAGGGTAGAGTAGAGAAGGGGAGAGTACTGTAGAGGAGGGTAGAGTACTGTAGAGGAGGGTAGAGTACTGTAGAGAAGGGTAGAGTACTGTAGAGAAGGGTAGAGTAGAGAAGGGTAGAGTAGAGAAGGGTAGAGTAGAGTAGAGAAGGGTAGAGTACTGTAGAGAAGGGTAGAGTACTGTAGAGAAGGGTAGAGTAGAGAAGGGTAGAGTACTGTAGAGAAGGGTAGAGTACTGTAGAGGAGGGTAGAGTACTGTAGAGGAGGGTAGAGCACTGTAGAGGAGGGTAGAGTACTGTAGAGAAGGGTATAGTACTGTAGAGGAGGGTAGAGTAGAGTAGAGAAGGGTAGAGTACTGTAGAGGAGGGTAGAGTACTGTAGAGAAGGGTATAGTACTGTAGAGAAGGGTAGAGTACTGTAGAGAAGGGTAGAGTACTGTAGAGGAGGGTAGAGTACTGTAGAGAAGGGTAGAGTACTGTAGAGAAGGGTATAGTACTGTAGAGGAGGGTAGAGTAGAGTAGAGAAGGGTAGAGTACTGTAGAGAAGGGTAGAGTACTGTAGAGAAGGGTAGAGTACTGTAGAGGAGGGTAGAGTAGAGTAGAGAAGGGTAGAGTACTGTAGAGGAGGGTAGAGTAGAGTAGAGGAGGGTAGAGTACTGTAGAGGAGGGAAGAGTACTGTAGAGAAGGGTAGAGTACTGTAGAGGAGGGTAGAGTACTGTAGAGGAGGGTAGAGTAGAGTAGAGAAGGGTATAGTACTGTAGAGAAGGGTAGAGTACTGTAGAGAAGGGTAGAGTACTGTAGAGAAGGGCAGAGTACTGTAGAGAATGGTAGAGTACTGTAGAGAATGGTAGAGTACTGTAGAGAAGGGTAGAGTAGAGTAGAGAAGGGTAGAGTACTGTAGAGAATGGTAGAGTACTGTAGAGAAGGGTAGAGTACTGTAGAGAAGGGTAGAGTACTGTAGAGAAGGGTAGAGTACTGTAGAGAAGGGTAGAGTACTGTAGAGAAGGGTAGAGTAGAGAGAAGGGTAGAGTAGGTAGAGTAGAGAAGGGTAGAGTACTGTAGAGAAGGGTAGAGTAGAGTAGAGTAGAGAAGGGTAGAGTGGTAGAGTACTGTAGAGAAGGGTAGAGTACTGTAGAGAAGGGTAGAGTACTGTAGAGAAGGGTAGAGTACTGTAGAGAAGGGTAGAGTACTGTAGAGAAGGGTAGAGTACTGTAGAGAAGGGTAGAGTAGAGTAGAGTAGAGAAGGGTAGAGTACTGTAGAGAAGGGTAGAGTACTGTAGAGAAGGGTAGAGTACTGTAGAGAAGGGTAGAGTACTGTAGAGAAGGGTAGAGTACTGTAGAGAAGGGTAGAGTAGTGTAGAGAAGGGTAGAGTACTGTAGAGAATGGTAGAGTACTGTAGAGAAGGGTAGAGTACTGTAGAGAAGGGTAGAGTACTGTAGAGAAGGGTAGAGTACTGTAGAGAAGGGTAGAGTAGAGTAGAGTAGAGAAGGGTAGAGTACTGTAGAGAAGGGTAGAGTACTGTAGAGAAGGGTAGAGTACTGTAGAGAAGGGTAGAGTACTGTAGAGAATGGTAGAGTACTGTAGAGAAGGGTAGAGTACTGTAGAGAAGGGTAGAGTACTGTAGAGAAGGGTAGAGTACTGTAGAGAAGGGTAGAGTAGAGTAGAGTAGAGTAGAGAAGGGTAGAGTACTGTAGAGAAGGGTAGAGTACTGTAGAGAAGGGTAGAGTACTGTAGAGAAGGGTAGAGTACTGTAGAGAAGGGTAGAGTACTGTAGAGAAGGGTAGAGTACTGTAGAGAAGGGTAGAGTACTGTAGAGAAGGGTAGAGTACTGTAGAGAAGGGTAGAGTAGAGTAGAGAAGGGTAGAGTACTGTAGAGAAGGGTAGAGTAGAGTAGAGAAGGGTAGAGTACTGTAGAGAAGGGTAGAGTAGAGTAGAGAAGGGTAGAGTAGAGTAGAGAGAGGGTAGAGTGTAGAGAAGGGTAGAGTACTGTAGAGAAGGGTAGAGTAGAGTAGAGAAGGGTAGAGTACTGTAGAGAAGGGTAGAGTAGAGTAGAGAAGGGTAGAGTACTGTAGAGTAGGGTAGAGAAGGGTAGAGTAGAGTAGAGAAGGGTAGAGTAGAGAAGGGTAGAGTAGGGTAGAGTACTGTAGAGGAGGGTAAAGTACTGTAGAGAAGGGTAGAGTACTGTAGAGAAGGGTAGAGTACTGTAGAGGAGGGTAGAGTACTGTAGAGAAGGGTAGAGTACTGTAGAGAAGGGTAGAGTAGAGGGTGTCATGCAGAGGTGACTGAGATCCTGGTGTTAATGGTCCGCACCATGTGTGTTGATCAGTGTTGACTCTTGGTGAATGTGTAGCTCTTATCTGCTGCGCACAAAGATAGTGCTTCTAAACGCTTCTAAACTCATCATCCACGTTTGGGAATCTTCTGTTTGCAGATTGTTACGAGCAATAAGAAGTTAGACCAGAGACCCGAGAGAGACCTGAGAGAGACCTGAGAGAGACCCGAGAGAGACCTGAGAGAGACCTGAGAGAGACCCGAGAGAGACCTGAGAGAGACCAGAGAGAGACCAGAGAGAGACCAGAGAGAGACCAGAGAGAGACCAGAGAGAGACCCGAGAGAGACCAGAGAGAGACCAGAGAGAGACCAGAGAGAGACCCGAGAGAGACCAGAGAGACCAGAGAGAGACCAGAGAGAGACCAGAGAGAGACCAGAGAGAGACCAGAGAGAGACCAGAGAGACCAGAGAGGGACCTGAGAGAGACCCGAGAGAGACCAGAGAGAGACCAGAGAGAGAGACCAGAGAGAGAGACCAGAGAGAGACCCGAGAGAGACCAGAGAGAGACCCGAGAGAGACCCGAGAGAGACCAGAGAGAGACCAGAGAGACCAGAGAGGGACCTGAGAGAGACCCGAGAGAGACCCGAGAGAGACCACGAGAGAGACCCCGAGAGAGACCCGAAAGACAGGGACCCGAGAGAGACCTGAGAGAGACCCGAGAGAGACCCGAGAGAGACCCGAGAGAGACCCGAGAGAGACCACGAGAGAGACCCCGAGAGAGACCCGAAAGACAGGGACCCGAGAGAGACCTGAGAGAGACCCGAGAGAGACCCGAGAGAGACCACGAGAGAGACCCGAGAGAGACCCGAAAGACAGGGACCCGAGAGAGACCTGAGAGAGACCCGAGAGAGACCCGAGAGAGACCACGAGAGAGACCCGAGAGAGACCCGAAAGAGAGGGACCCGAGAGAGACCAGAGAGAGACCAGAGAGAGACCAGAGAGAGACCAGAGAGAGACCAGAGAGACCAGAGAGAGACCCGAGAGAGAGACCCGAGAGAGACCAGAGAGAGACCCGAGAGAGAGAGACCCGAGAGAGACCAGAGAGAGACCCGAGAGAGACCCGAGAGAGACCCGAGAGAGACCCGAGAGAGACCCGAGAGAGAGAGACCCGAGAGAGACCCGAGAGAGACCCGAGAGAGAGAGACCCGAGAGAGACCAGAGAGAGACGCGAGAGAGAGAGACCCGAGAGAGACCAGAGAGAGACCCGAGAGAGACCCGAGAGAGACCCGAGAGAGACCAGAGAGAGACCCGAGAGAGACCAGAGAGAGACCAGAGAGAGACCCGAGAGAGACCAGAGAGAGACCAGAGAGAGACCAGAGAGAGACCCGAGAGAGACCAGAGAGAGACCAGAGAGAGACCAGAGAGAGACCCGAGAGAGACCAGAGAGACCAGAGAGAGACCAGAGAGAGACCAGAGAGAGACCAGAGAGAGACCAGAGAGAGACCAGAGAGACCAGAGAGGGACCTGAGAGAGACCCGAGAGAGACCAGAGAGAGACCAGAGAGAGAGACCAGAGAGAGAGACCAGAGAGAGACCCGAGAGAGACCAGAGAGAGACCCGAGAGAGACCCGAGAGAGACCAGAGAGAGACCAGAGAGACCAGAGAGGGACCTGAGAGAGACCCGAGAGAGACCCGAGAGAGACCACGAGAGAGACCCCGAGAGAGACCCGAAAGACAGGGACCCGAGAGAGACCTGAGAGAGACCCGAGAGAGACCCGAGAGAGACCCGAGAGAGACCCGAGAGAGACCACGAGAGAGACCCCGAGAGAGACCCGAAAGACAGGGACCCGAGAGAGACCTGAGAGAGACCCGAGAGAGACCCGAGAGAGACCACGAGAGAGACCCGAGAGAGACCCGAAAGACAGGGACCCGAGAGAGACCTGAGAGAGACCCGAGAGAGACCCGAGAGAGACCACGAGAGAGACCCGAGAGAGACCCGAAAGAGAGGGACCCGAGAGAGACCAGAGAGAGACCAGAGAGAGACCAGAGAGAGACCAGAGAGAGACCAGAGAGACCAGAGAGAGACCAGAGAGAGAGACCAGAGAGAGACCAGAGAGAGACCAGAGAGACCAGAGAGAGACCCGAGAGAGAGACCCGAGAGAGACCAGAGAGAGACCCGAGAGAGAGAGACCCGAGAGAGACCAGAGAGAGACCCGAGAGAGACCCGAGAGAGACCCGAGAGAGACCCGAGAGAGACCCGAGAGAGAGAGACCCGAGAGAGACCCGAGAGAGACCCGAGAGAGAGAGACCCGAGAGAGACCAGAGAGAGACGCGAGAGAGAGAGACCCGAGAGAGACCAGAGAGAGACCCGAGAGAGACCCGAGAGAGACCCGAGAGAGACCAGAGAGAGACCCGAGAGAGACCAGAGAGAGACCCGAGAGAGAGAGACCCGAGAGAGACCAGAGAGAGACCCGAGAGAGACCAGAGAAAGACCAGAGAGAGAGAGACCCGAGAGAGACCCGAGAGAGACCGAGAGACCGGAGAACTGTTGATGAAAAGTGTGTTCGTCCGTCAACAACAAACTGTCGCAGATTCAACACAGACTGACAGACGAGAGGTCACAGAGGAAGTCAGCAATCAGTGGCTTTTTTCATGCCACTGGCTTCTTCTGGAGTATAGACCAGAGAGAGAGACCAGAGAGAGACCAGAGAAAGAGACCAGAGAGAGACCAGAGAGAGAGACCAGAGAGAGAGACCAGAGAGAGAGACCAGAGAGAGAGACCAGAGAAAGAGACCAGAGAGAGACCAGAGAGAGAGACCAGAGAGAGACCAGAGAGAGACCAGAGAGAGACCAGAGAGAGACCAGAGAGAGAGACCAGAGAGAGACCAGAGAGAGACCAGAGAGAGAGACCAGAGAGAGAGACCAGAGAGAGACCAGAGAGAGACCAGAGAGAGAGTCCAGAGAGAGACCAGAGAGAGACCAGAGAGAGACACCAGAGAGAGACCAGAGAGAGACCAGAGAGAGACCAGAGAGAGAGACCAGAGAGAGACCAGAGAGAGACCAGAGAGAGAGACCAGAGAGAGAGACCAGAGAGAGACCAGAGAGAGACCAGAGAGAGACCAGAGAGAGACCAGAGAGAGAGACCAGAGAGAGACCAGAGAGAGACCAGAGAGAGACCAGAGAGAGACCAGAGAGAGACCAGAGAGAGACCAGAGAGAGAGACCAGAGAGAGACCAGAGAGAGACCAGAGAGAGACCAGAGAGAGAGACCAGAGAGAGACAAGAGACCAGAGAGAGAGAGACCAGAGAGAGACCAGAGAGAGAGAGACCAGAGAGAGACCAGAGAGAGACCAGAGAGAGAGACCAGAGAGAGACCAGAGAGAGACCAGAGAGAGACCAGAGAGAGAGACCAGAGAGAGACAAGAGACCAGAGAGAGAGAGACCAGAGAGAGACCAGAGAGAGAGAGAGACCAGAGAGAGAGACCAGAGAGAGAGAGGCTCTACTCTACTTTAGGTTTTAGCTAGCTGCTAGCATTACCTTTCATAACTTCCAGGGGCAGAATAAACAGAGGTGTGTGGTTCATGCTTCCTGTTGACCCGGAGTCGTGTTTTCTTTGTCTCAGACTCACCTCCACTGTCAGACTGTAGACAGAGGAGTGTTAGGTGTAAATCCTGCCTTTGAGCTGCTGTCCTCAGGTTACTGTGGCGACAGGAAGACCAGAGAGAGACCAGAGAGAGAGACCGGAGAGAGACCAGAGAGAGACCAGAGAGAGACCAGAGAGAGACCAGAGAGAGACCAGAGAGAGAGACCAGAGAGAGACCAGAGAGAGACCAGAAAGAGACCAGAGAGAGACCAGAGAGAGAGACCAGAGAGAGAGACCAGAGAGAGACCAGAGAGAGACCAGAGAGAGACCAGAGAGACCAGAGAGAGACCAGAGAGACCAGAGAGAGACCAGAAAGAGACCAGAGAGAGACCAGAGAGAGAGACCAGAGAGAGAGACCAGAGAGAGACCAGAGAGAGACCAGAGAGACCAGAGAGAGACCAGAGAGAGACCAGAGAGAGAGACCAGAGAGAGAGACCAGAGAGAGACCAGAGAGAGACCAGAGAGAGACCAGAGAGAGACCAGAGAGAGAGACCAGAGAGAGACCAGAGAGAGACCAGAGAGAGAGACCAGAGAGAGACCAGAGAGAGACCAGAGAGAGACCAGAGAGAGACCAGAGAGAGACCAGAGAGAGAGACCAGAGAGAGACCAGAGAGAGACCAGAGAGAGAGACCAGAGAGAGACCAGAGAGAGAGACCAGAGAGAGACCAGAGAGAGACCAGAGACCAGAGAGAGTCCAGAGAGAGAGACCAGAGAGAGACCAGAGAGAGACCAGAGACCAGAGAGAGTCCAGAGAGAGAGACCAGAGAGAGACCAGAGAGAGACCAGAGAGAGACCAGAGAGAGAGACCAGAGAGAGACCAGAGAGAGAGACCAGAGAGAGACCAGAGAGAGACCAGAGAGAGACCAGAGAGAGACCAGAGAGAGAGACCAGAGAGAGACCAGAGAGAGACCAGAGAGAGAGACCAGAGAGAGAGACCAGAGAGAGACCAGAGAGAGACCAGAGAGAGAGTCCAGAGAGAGACCAGAGAGAGACCAGAGAGAGAGACCAGAGAGAGACCAGAGAGAGACCAGAGAGAGACCAGAGAGAGAGACCAGAGAGAGACCAGAGAGAGACCAGAGAGAGAGACCAGAGGAGAGAGACCAGAGAGAGACCAGAGAGAGACCAGAGAGAGACCAGAGAGAGACCAGAGAGAGAGCCAGAGAGAGACCAGAGAGAGACCAGAGAGAGACCAGAGAGAGACCAGAGAGAGACCAGAGAGAGACCAGAGAGAGAGACCAGAGAGAGACCAGAGAGAGACCAGAGAGAGACCAGAGAGAGAGACCAGAGAGAGACCAGAGAGAGACAAGAGACCAGAGAGAGAGACCAGACAGAGAGAGACCAGAGAGAGACCAGAGAGAGACCAGCGAGAGACCAGAGAGAGACCAGAGAGAGAGACCAGAGAGAGAGACCAGAGAGAGAGACAGAGAGAGAGAGAGACCAGAGAGAGTCCAGAGAGAGAGACCAGAGAGAGACCAGAGAGAGACCAGAGAGAGAGACCAGAGAGAGAGACCAGAGAGAGACCAGAGAGAGACCAGAGAGAGACCAGAGAGAGAGACCAGAGAGAGAGACCAGAGAGACCAGAGACCAGAGAGAGTCCAGAGAGAGAGACCAGAGAGAGACCAGAGAGAGACCAGAGAGAGACCAGAGAGAGAGACCAGAGAGAGACCAGAGAGAGACCAGAGAGAGACCAGAGAGAGACCAGAGAGAGACCAGAGAGAGACCAGAGAGAGAGACCAGAGAGAGACCAGAGAGAGACCAGAGACCAGAGAGAGTCCAGAGAGAGAGACCAGAGAGAGACCAGAGAGAGACCAGAGAGAGACCAGAGAGAGACCAGAGAGAGAGACCAGAGAGAGACCAGAGAGAGACCAGAGAGAGAGACCAGAGAGAGACCAGAGAGAGACCAGAGAGAGACCAGAGAGAGACCAGAGAGAGAGACCAGAGAGAGACCAGAGAGAGACCAGAGAGAGAGACCAGAGAGAGACCAGAGAGAGACCAGAGAGAGACCAGAGAGAGAGACCAGAGAGAGACCAGAGAGAGAGACCAGAGAGAGACCAGAGAGAGACCAGAGAGAGTCCAGAGAGAGACCAGAGAGAGAGACCAGAGAGAGAGACCAGAGAGACCAGAGAGAGACCAGAGAGAGAGACCAGAGAGAGACCAGAGAGAGACCAGAGAGAGTCCAGAGAGAGACCAGAGAGAGAGACCAGAGAGACCAGAGAGAGACCAGAGAGAGGGACCAGAGGGAGACCACGGTCCCAAAATCACAGTTCACAGTCTCCGGATTGGACTTGCAGATGGTCAGAGGAGAAGAACCCTTTCTCATATTTTCAAGAAGAGGGTTCCAGATTTTAGCATTAACTGCCTCCTCATGACTCTGGGACCAGCAGGAGTCCAGTCCCTGTGCTCCTCAGAGTCCCAGCAGGAGGCCAGTCCCTGTGCTCCTCAGAGTCCCAGCAGGAGTCCAGTCCCTGTGCTCCTCAGAGTCCCAGCAGGAGTCCAGTCCCTGTGCTCCTCAGAGGTGAGAGGGAGGAGCTGACAGCTGTCACTCACACACAGGAAATGTTGCTGTACTTATTTATTTGTTTGATTAGCACAGTTCATACGTCACTCTCTGTTTGTTCTGGTTCAGAGGCTGCGACGAGTGACAGGACCAGAACGAGACCGAGAATGTCACAGAGACAGAGACAGAGACACACACACACACACACACAGACCTCAGTTTGGTAAAGTGGGTCACAGTTTGGTAAAGTGGGCCGCAGTTTGGTAAATGGGCCACAGTTTGGTAAATGGGCCACAGTTTGGTAAAGTGGGTCACGGTTTGGTAAAGTGGGCCGCAGTTTGGTAAGTGGGCCACAGTTTGGTAAATGGGCCACAGTTTGGTAAAGTGGGTCACGGTTTGGTAAAGTGGGCCGCAGTTTGGTAAAGTGGGCTGCAGTTTGGTAAAGTGGGCCGCAGTTTGGTAAATGGTCCGCAGTTTGGTAAATGGGCCGCAGTTTGGTAATTGGGCCACAGTCTGGTAAGTGGGCCGCAGTTTGGTTAAAAGTGGGCCACAGTTTGGTAAAGTGGGCGGCAGTTTGGTAAATGGGCTGCAGTTTGGTAAGTGGGCCACAGTTTGGTAAGTGGGCCACGGTTTGGTTAAAAGTGGGCCACGGTTTGGTAATTGGGCCACAGTCTGGTAAGTGGGCCGCAGTTTGGTTAAAAGTGGGCCACGGTTTGGTAAGTGGGCCACAGTTTGGTAAGTGGGCCACAGTTTGGTAAGTGGGCCACGGTTTGGTAAGTGGGCCACAGTTTGGTAAGTGGGCCACAGTTTGGTAAGTGGGCCACAGTTTGGTAAATGTGCCACGGTTTGGTAAGGTGGGCCACAGTTTGGTAAGTGGGCCACAGTTTGGTAAGGTCGGCCACAGTTCGGTAAGTGGGCCACAGTTTGGTAAGGTAAGTTTGAGTATAGAGTGTAGAGTGTAGAGTGTAGAGTGTAGAGTATAGAGTATAGAGTATAGAGTTAGAGACTAGAGTTTAGAGTGTATAGAGTGTATAGAGAGTATAGAGAGTATAGAGAGTATAGAGAGTATAGAGTGTATAGAGTGTATAGAGTGTATAGAGTGTATAGAGTGTATAGAGTGTATAGAGTGTATAGAGTGTATAGAGAGTATAGAGAGTATAGAGTGTATAGAGTGTATAGAGAGTATAGAGTGTATAGAGAGTATAGAGTGTATAGAGAGTATAGAGAGTATAGAGAGTATAGAGAGTATAGAGAGTATAGAGAGTATAGAGAGTATAGAGAGTATAGAGAGTATAGAGTGTATAGAGAGTATAGAGTGTATAGAGAGTATAGAGAGTATAGAGAGTATAGAGAGTATAGAGAGTATAGAGTGTATAGAGAGTATAGAGTGTATAGAGAGTATAGAGAGTATAGAGAGTATAGAGAGTATAGAGAGTATAGAGTGTATAGAGTATAGAGTGTATAGAGTGTATAGAGTGTATAGAGAGTATAGAGAGTATAGAGAGTATAGAGTGTATAGAGAGTATAGAGTGTATAGAGAGTATAGAGTGTATAGAGAGTATAGAGAGTATAGAGAGTATAGAGAGTATAGAGAGTATAGAGTGTATAGAGAGTATAGAGTGTATAGAGTGTATAGAGTGTATAGAGAGTATAGAGAGTATAGAGTGTATAGAGAGTATAGAGAGTATAGAGAGTATAGAGAGTATAGAGAGTATAGAGAGTAT